CGTGATCTACGAAGAATACGTAGATCGCGTATGTGACTCTATATATTTTTGTACTATTACTGGTAACCATGATTAATCACATCTGTGTATATAATTTCCAGAACACTTTTTTACATATTGTTAACTCTGTTGTATATAATCTATGCAAATATCGTTGTCGCAATATGTATATAAGATCATCTTTTGTTCAGCTTTGCAAGTTCCACACCAGTTAATGGATTTTGTGAGGCTTGAAAGTTCGTGATGCGGTTTTCTCTGGTAAAGTTGACTAACTAGGGATTTATATCAAAATTCGAAACTATTATAGACGGGTATGATTCTTTTTAAAAATAAACAATTTCTACTGTCCATACTGCAATGGAAAAATTAATGGGAGGGCCTGGCTCATCAATGGTGAACCCTCCCAGCGGTTTCACCAGTTTAATCTACCATTTTTGGTCGAAGAACCCACGCCTCTAGACATTTTACCATATCAACACTTCACGACTTCCTTGTAGGTCTCATGAAAATCAAAGTGCAACCTGGAATTGTATATCGTAATTGGATGCTCGGTTTCCGGTACATAAGAATGCCAAAATGCTTACTTAAGACAATCCTGCCTTGTCCACGTTTTTCAGGCGATGTTGTCAAGTTCTACTGTACACTCATGGACAAGGGATTTGTACATTTTATCGTGTTTAATTAAAAAGGCATATATTGGATCAAAATATTATTTATTTTACCAATATTTCAGTTGGATGAACGCCAAACTTTTATCAAGGTATTATAACATATTAATATGTGTCAACAACAAACTCAGCGCCACATAACGTCAATAGAATTAAGTTTAAAAAATATATTTTTGCTTGTATTCAATGGGGAGAATTTTTTTTTATCATATATATTGAGATTCAGACAATAACTCTGAAAGATATTACAGTGACCTTTATTGAAAACACACGAGATAACCAGTATACACTCATGGACAAAACTTAAGGAAGTTGTACCTTTTAACATGTATATCGGGATTCGGACAATAACTCTGAAATATATTACAGTGACATTTATTGAAGACACACGAGATAACCAAGTGTGAACAGTCTCTGTCTCCTTAAAAAAAAAAAAAAAAAAAATAGATGACCGGCGACATCGAAGACTTTCAACTTCCTCAAGTTTTGTCCATGAGTGTAGATGTGATAGAGATTGAAGGAGGTATATGTGCAGCTGACCGAGGCGGTGCAACTAACTCGACACGCCCGGCATCTTGTGGGGGACATCCAAATCCTAGGACTCCACCCTCCCATCATCCAATTTAGAATGTCCTTGGCAGCAGGAGGCATCAATGCCTCACAGGCGGAGGCCTTCCTTCGCAGAGAACTGGGCGGAGCTTTGGAACAAATGGGACACCGCCCTGAACTACTGGATCTTCGTGGAGCCACGGTCGAAACCATCGTAGCAGGTACTTGGATATCAGATTTCTGGATGGTACAGAGAACGTACAGCATTTTGATATGTAGTGATCATTATGATACTATGGAGGTCATCCTACGTGACAATAATTTCACCTTGTGTCCATTTAGTTTAATATATTTTTTCTTCTTTCTTATCTCCACTTAATCATATCAGGGTATCAAGCTTGTAAAGCTTGTTGATGGTGTCTGCTGGGGATGAGTAAGAGCTCATTAATGAATGAGTCAATACAGTCAATAATGTGGTTTGGGGTTGCAGGTTGAGACTATAATTCTTTCTCAAATATAAATAATAAAATTGTGATACACTTTTACAAGATCAAAAAACCTTTCGCAATAATTAAGAAAAAGGGCATCTCCTTATCGTGCAACTAAAAGTTACTGATGGCTTGCGCCATCTATCGGAATAAATATCAACTATTCTCGTTGATTTTTAATTATTCCAGAATTGGCCAAATACCCATTCTTGATTAATCAAGAAAAGCTAACCACAGATGCGTTTCGGGCTGTTGGCCCTCATCAGCGTGGTGCAAGCTGTACCTTAAAGACCAAAAAATTGGTCATTCAGGCATCCTTTCGCAATAAGTTTGTTTATTATAAAAACTGCGAGCTTTCGAGATCTCGCTCTTCAATGGGCAACATTATATTTGAGAGTGAGCACGGGTTTTACACATTGACAACATTGAAGCAGTTTTATGCTGACATGGGCTATAGTGTAAAAATAAGGTCTTTTGATCGAATTTACAATTTTCTAATGGCAGTACCCAAATTCGTATGTTTGTAGAAATGATTCTAATAGATGCGTTCTATAGTGTTTATTAGATTTTGGATGGAGTCATGTATTTTTTTTCCTATGGTCAAATCTCGAACTATCCTCGTCTGCCAGAGTATAAGGACAACCCTGTTGTGCACAGAAGACCCCTGCCAGGGCCCCAACTACTGCAGCCCCAACGCTGAATGCCAGATGACACCCCAGGACCCTACAAGAGCCTACCGCTGTAGATGCAAACCGAATTACGCCGATAATTCCCCCAACATCAAGATCTACCCGGGAGAAGACTGTCGCAGTAAGTTTTCAGCAACCTCCTCCTCCAATGCCTTCCTCTAATGAGGGTGGGCCACAAGGCCTCCATATCTCCCTCCGTCAGTGCCTTCCTCTACTGAGGGACATGGTCTCTCCATATCTTCTCCTTCAGTGCCTTCCTCTATTGAGGGACATGGTCTCTCCATATCTCCCTCCTTCAGTGCCTTCCTCTATTGAGGGACATGGTCTCTCCCTATCTCCCTCCTTCACTGCCTTCCTCTACTGAGGGTGGCTGGCCACATGGTCTCTCCATACTTCCCTCCGCCATCCTCTTCATCTCCTCGTGTCGTCCAGTCCATTGTTTTGGATCGTCTGTGTATCCCTGTCGTCTCCTTCCCCTCGATCTCTTCCCCCGGAGCTTTCCCTCCAACACTGTCAGCAATATCTCTCCTGCTGATCCGCGCATCACATGTCCAGAAAACGTCAGTTTTCGTTGTTTTATTAACTTTATCAGCTCTGGCGTTCTGTACCCATTCTATCGAGAACTTATTTGTTACCATATCTGTCCAAGGAATATTTAGATCTCTCCTGTAAAGGTAGGTCTCGAAGGCTTCTATTCACAACACCTACGTGTAAATGTCCATATTTACTTCTAAAATGCAATATTTATTAGAAGCAGATACATTACCTTTTTTATATAGTGAATATAACAATAATACATTCGTAGACAAAACTTAAAGAAGTTGTACCTTTTAGCATGTATATCGGGATTCAGACAATAACTCTGAAAGATATTACTGTGACCTTTATTGAAGACATACGAGATTATTGCCTCTGTCTGCCGACTGCAAAGACTTTTCACTTCCTTAAGTTTTGTCCATGAGTGTAGCTCAAATATTTCTCTATATAAAATATGAATCTAACAATATCCCAACTCATTATAAAAACGATGTGTATCCACATTGAAAACTGTCTAAATTTTTATTTAAAAAATTCACAATAGGATTTAAAAAAACATAATACTAGTTTCTACGTAAGAGTTGATTAAATAAAATCTTAACTTTTTGATTTAGACCCAGCAAGATCTTTTGATCGATAATTTTATAGTTTGCAATATAGAAACATCTATATATATAAAAAATCAATGTTTGTATGTTTGTTTGTTTGTATGTCCGGTATACAAATTCGCAGTAGTTCACTAATTCAAACCAAAATTTTCATGCATAGGTAGAAAAATACGGGGAAGACGATAGGCTATTTTAAAAAGTATATAAATCAATTATTAAAACTATATATTCAAATTATTCTACTTAGCTCACGAACAGCGCCCTGCATGCTGATGCAAACAAATAGATAATGCTAATAACAAACAATTATTAAAAAAATCTTATCTAAATATATATCACTCGGGTAGATATGCACACGGGTCAATCCCGGGGCGAAGCCCGGGTCACCCGTCTAGTTCTCAATATAAATTTTTGGGATTTTTAATTCATATTACAATACTTATTTGAACCTCTACTTCTGTATCTAAGAATAAATGGTGTGTTATAGTTGTCTGCCCTCAAGGATATTGCAGCAACGAAGGATCCTGCTATGCTGAAAAGGATGAACTCATCTGCAGGTAAAAATTTGCATAGATTTTAATATGCACATATATCACTATAATATATACCTTGATCAAGACTCATAAATAAACACTATAAAGGAATGGCAATACATCCAGATGGCACAAGAACCTATAGGACATGTAACAACTGTCCTGATGCAGAACTAACACCTACTCACATATTCTCATGTCCAGCAATGGCCGCAGCCTTTCAGAAAATTGACATGGACACCGAGCAGCAGATTTACACACCCAAGATAGAGGACATTATGACTGCTGTGATAGAGATGTACGGAGATATCTGAGGCTCTTCATTGGACACGACAACAACAATACAGTATACACACCCAAGATAGAGGACATTACGACTGCTGTGATAGAGATGCAACGGGACATCTGAGGCTCTTCATTGGACACAACAACATATACCTTGATCGCTTTATATTGTATAGCTTGCCGTGTGTGGCGCTTGGAATATTTGTTTTTTATTGATAGTGAAATCACCCTAAGTGTGTTCCCTTAGATTTTTACTATATCTATGCCTTACTATAAATATCTGCAATACCATAGTGACAACCACATATGACAATAGAGAATGTAAATATATATGGAAATTTTGCCAGGAGGAAATTGATCCACAGAAGCATAGGTCGCCTCTCCCTTCCAAATAAAAGTCAAAACTAGACGCCATCTATTGACCGTCGCCGCAAACTAGCGGCCTTAGGTCGGTGACAAAGCCACCTTATCAACTTTGGCAAACTGAAAGTAAAACGACATTTGAAATACTATCCCGCATGTGTTTCTTTTCAACGAAAATTCAAAATTTATTTCAAGGAGAAATAACGATTATTTCTAACCTTTTGGATGAGGTATGAAAGGGTTAATTGTGAAGAGTAATGATAAACCGAAAAATAAAAGTGTCCAGGGATGGGAATCGAACCCACAGTGTTCTGCTTACCGGGCAGATGCCATGACCACTAGGCTACCCTGGACATATTTTTCCGTTCGTAAATAATACATAAAGTAATTTATAATACAATATAATATAATGCGGCTTGTTATTGTAAAACGACATTTGAAATACTATCCAGCGTGTTGTCTTTTCAACGAAAATTCAAAATTTACTGAGAAGTGTCCAAAAGTGTTCAAAACTGAGAAGCGTCAACCTGGAGATCATAGTTTCGGGTTAATCTATCTTTAGGCCATAGATTTGGTCCAGCTACTGGGCAATCCTTGTTCTATCCAGTGGTGATGAACAAAAATGAGTGTTTTAAAGCAAGAGAGCTGCCTCTTTTGGTACATTACTACCATCCACCCTTAGATTATACCATCAGAGCTGTGGAAAATTGACATCAAGATGAGATTCTGATGCATTTATCTATAATATCAGCTCACTCGTAAAGACTTGTACAAAAATTTATTAAATTTATATTATATATATAATATGATGCACTAGCGCGTTATATATATAACACTATGCGGCGCTGAGTTTGTTTATACAAAAATGTAATGCCTTGATAAAGGTTGGCGTTCAGCCAACCGAAATATTGGCAAATAAATCTTTTGAAGAAGGAACAAAAGTTAACAGCGACGAGTTTATTTTATTTGTGCTGTAAATTCGGCAAGCTTTCGGACTTTGACATCCTTCGACAGGCAAATTTATGCCGAATTTACAGCTTTAATCTCGTCACCGTTAACTTTTGTTCCTTCTTCAAGATGATGTCAGGTGATTCCTTCTCTTGTAAAATAAATCCTTTATTCAATCCAATATATGCCTTTTTATTATCTAATAATATATTATATGTCCAGGTGCCACAAGGGATTCTATGGGAAGACCTGTGAAATTTCTTTGATTGGTAAGTGCCAGATTTTAACAAGATGCTTAGATAATACCAGCCATGAACTACGATATAGTGTTGTGAGTGCATGCTTGCTTCACTTTGATAAAAACGAGAATACCTACTGGATTGAACTTCACACTTCATTTTTGTGTTTTGTTTTATACAACACAAAGATTTATTTGTCAGGTTTGAGGATAGTTTCTTATGTTGTTATTTCTTATCCCCTTATGCAACTGCTACAGGGTACATCCCCAGGTGGAAGATAGGGGAACTACCTTGAGATATAAAACAGGCCAGCTGTGAAACAGAGAATAACTCTGACAAATAAGCAGTCATGGACCAACAGCAGCTTTGTTAGAAGAGAAGAAAGATCTCTTTAAAAATCCTGACTTCAACTGATTCAGTTGATAGACCTCAGAAAGGGTCCCACTCCAGGGATATGGAGGAGTTGCATCTCTACTAATGTTAAAGTGGGCAGCAAAGGATTCCATTACAGGCAGACTTTCACCAAAGTGTGCCAGGGTGCCATGATCAACGAAATCTGCATCTCCATTCCATGAGATCAATTTCTTATGTTGTCATTGTTGCATGATTGTTATGATGCACATCATATCTTTAATTATCATCATCATGTGCCATCTCTAATCTATATGTTGCTAGCTATAGTCCCACACCTTCAATCCTGTACCTTTCTCTTTAACACAGTGTAGCTTACTACAGCCATGAGGTCATTCCCATGTCAACATATTTCAAACAGCTTTTTTTCTTTTATAGTTATGTGTAAATCTATATTTATTGCATTTTAAATTACACTCATGGACCAAACAAAGGAAGTGGAAACTCTTTGATGTTGCCTGTCATCTATTTTTTTTTGAAGGAGACAGAGGCTGTTCACACTTGGTTATCTCGTGTGATTTCAATAAAGGTCACTGTGTATTAAACCTTGTAGTTTCTACCCATGTGTAGATATGTAGTGAGAGTCTACAGTATAATCTGTCACAATTCCCTATGATAATGTCCTAACAAGATATACTGCAGAACCTCTCTTTAAAGGACAACACCTAATTGCAGAGCCAAAGTGTTCTTTAGGGAGAAGTGTCCTCTTACCAGAGAGTTACTAAATAGTAAAAATGATAATTTTACAAATTAAAACTTTCCTTTATAGAGAGGATTCTCATGGAGGTTCTACTGTACAAGTATCAACAGATATTGTCATGTCCAGTTCTCCAATCTCTATCTTACTATATAGAAATTGGGAATTTAAACAGTAAAGACAATCAAACATACAAGTCTTGATGGATACATGTCTTACAGTAAAACAAGATAATAAGATTTGGTCTTATTACTTTGTGTTTCTAATCTATAATCCAAATTGTACCTCCCTTATCATCATTGATTGTGTTGTTGTTTCTTATCCCCTTATGTAAAGATTACATGAATCCCATGAGTTCATGCACCTCAAGCTGTTTTATGATAAGCAGCAGCCTCTCCCAAAGGTCCATCCAAAATTGTACTTTATATCTCATGGATCTCATGATCATTGATTGTAGAAAGTCTATATCCACCACAACATGACATGACGGTGTTGTAGCTGTGGCTGGTATCCTGAGTGGAACTCTCTGTTTCCTGGTCCTAGCCATCTGTACCATCATCCTGGTTCTCTACAAGCAGAAGTCTGGGTATGTTGTGGTCCATGTTGCACAAACTCTTGTATTTCCTTGTTCATTATCTCAAAACCTTTCTCTTTACAATGTTGGGTTAAATTTATATATGAAGGGTGTATCAGCATCTCTGTAAAAGAAAAAAAAATCTAAAAATATTTCCTCCTTTATTAATTTATTGCACAATAAACTTCAAGGTAATTTAAAAATTCTTGTAGAACACATAGGAACAACTTTGGTCAACAATTTGGACATTGGTCAAAAATAAAAAATAAAAATTTAAATTGGATTAAATGTCAACCTGAAAAAAAAACTTAGTATACATAGTACAGGCCATGATAATCATTGTTGGTTATAGTTTACAATTGCCTATACATATAGTAAGTCCATCCATCACTCCTGGGTAGTTGGTGTTCTGCGCTCCAGGAACCTGGGTTATAAATATCTCACATAAGTATTAACCATAAATACATTTTAACTTTGAAATTATAAAGTATCAGGTACCTATGATTATATTATATTTAAAAAAAAAAATTGTTCCAATGTGAAGTTTTTTTTTTAATTACCCCTAGTATACATGGTACAGGCCATGATAATCATGGTGGGTAGAAGTTGGCAACTGTAAGTGCACCACATGTCTACACATGTGAAAAGCAGTTCGACTTTTGCACTTACAAATGTGCCAGAGCCCTGTTTGTTTACTTACACTTGCTGGTGGGGTTGAACTTTTACAAGAATTTGGGGGCCATTGGAGCATTTTTTTTTTTAATCAGAAAAAGTTCCCAATGAAGGATTCGATCCCAGGTCATAACGGTCGGAAACCAACGGTTTAGACCACTGAGCCCCTCAATGTGAAGGTGTTGATTACAAGTTTCCAAACTTGACTCCCAATACTATGGTAGTTTAATGGAAGCCATTCTTTACATATCCTATGTACACAGACCCATGGTAGTGTTAGCAACTAAGGATAGATCACATGTGTCTACAGAAGTAAACAGTTCCACTTCATGTTTCCTCTCTGGTGACTAAATATTAAGATTGATTTTCATATTCAATCATGGAGGTTCTTCAGGGCCTTAGTTTCCTCCTATTGCATTCCTGATAATCATAAAATAAATAAATGAAAAAGGAGGAGCAGTAACAAGCTCACTAAAAAACCTGGGCTCAGCTGGCCTGGCTGATAGTACCCTGTAAGGGCTCCTAATCCAGGGATACAGGATGAGTCTGTACTCCATGTTAGGAGCAGCTGTACATGGTGTCTGTTCCTCATGTTAGAGGCGGCCATTTCTTTTGGAGCTAAGTCGGCCTGCCACTGAGTAATGCTCCCAGTCTTAATGACAAAAGCAGACACATTCTACTTCACCCAATCATTATGGAATCTCCTTTGACGTGCTCTAGCCATCCCCAGCAGACACCATCTCAAGCTCTACAGGCTTGATACCCTAATATGATTGTTGAGTGGAGATAAGAAAGAAGAAGATAAAATAAATATAAAGTCTTGCTAAAATAAACCTGGAATATAGCAAACCTTCACCTGACTTTAGTAGCTCCACAATTCCAAGTTACTTCAAGAGAGAGCCTTCCTTTATAACAAGAACCTGAAATAATCCTCAATTTTATGAACTACTACAGATGGCTATAATGAAACATTGCTATAGTGAACCACAACATCGGTTACATTGATGTTCACTAAAGAGGGGTGTTTTACTATATTTATTAAGGGAAAACATCAGGATTCAAGGAATTAAGTTTATTTTTTAATTCAAAACTAGTTTTCTTACTCAAAAACCAGAGATTTGAATTAAAAATTTGTAAAAATAAACTTATCCCTGGAAGCCTGATTTTTCAACCTTAATATTGATATAGAGAATTATTTAAAATATATATTTATATAAAATTATACTCTTGGACAAAACTTAAGGAATTGGAAAGTCTTTGATATGTCAACAGTCATCTATTTTTTTAAAGAGACAGAGGCTTTTCTAAGTCGGCCTGCCACTGAGTAGTGCTCCCAGTCTTAATGACAAAGGCAAACGCATTTTACTTCACCCAATCATGACTCATCCATTGATGAGCTCTACTCTTCCCCGGCAGACACCATCAAAAGTCCCAAGCTTTACAAGCTTGATACCCTAATATGATTGAATGGAGATAAGTAAGAAGAAGCCACTTTGTTATCTCATATGTCTTCAATAAAGATCACTGTAATATCTTTCAGAGTTATTTGTCTGAATTCAGATATATATGTTAAAAGGTACAACTTCCTTAAGTTTTGTCCATGAGTGTATATTGGTTATCTCGTGTCTTCAATAAAGGTCACTAAACACAAGGTAATAAGACCAAATCCAAATAAATAAATAGTGTGTGACGTTTCGGTAACAGCGTTGTTACCATCTTCAGACAAAAGTACTGACACACACTATTTATTTATTTGGATTTGGTCTTATTACCTTGTGTTTATAATCTATAATCCAAATTGTGCCTTATCAA